CTCGCAATAGCATGTAAAACAACCACGCAGGGAAAACCCTCCATAACTCCGTTCAGAGAACCGTTCCGCAAATTCTGAAGACAGATTTGAGTTCACCGTCTCAAAACGTGTGCACCTCATGGGAAAGGGCAGGCGACCTGTAGACCTTTCCTGGTGAGAAGGGGACACCCAGAAGGGGTGGTTATCATGTGTTGTCGTAATAAACTCACAAGTCTTTTGCCTAGCAAACCTCATGCGTCACAAATGTCACGGTTTTACTTATTGAAAGTCTCTCGATACCATTTTCAATTCCACACTGCAGTGTCGGAATTCCTAAGCATCACAGACTGACATAAGGGGCGAACTCTGCCAACTTACTGTCAAGTCATATCCTCAGTCACTATTCATACACGGATTGACTGATCTTTGACTCGTCTGTAAGTCGTGGTCAAAGTTACGATTACAAGGAGGACCACATAACCGTAGTTTCTATTACATGCTGGGATAAGAGTAAAGGGTAAACCCTTAGCCAGTTAATCAATCCCTTTGTGGGAGGCACGCATTCTACTTCCATTCAGAATCGTAGTGGCTTATTGAATGCGATGTGGCCTATACAATGACTTGCGGGGCCAGCCGATGTACAAGTCAGTGTCCCAGACGAATCGGTACTTCAAAGCGTAATCTGGTAGCAGTTTCAACAGCTCTAACTAGGGAGGTCGTTCAGGACGTGGAGCGCTTTTTGAAAACGGTTTTTTGCATGATGTGGGGTCACGTGCATGGAGTACCAAACTGGTGTTCATTTTTCCTGAACGCCTCTGGGAATGCCAAAAATGGGAGTGAAAAAGAAGTCCATGGAAACCGACTGTTTTTGAGCCTGAATGGGCTCTAAATCACTCGCAACTTCGGCCAGTTGCTGCCTATAGGGTCCTTATTGTCCTTATTTTTTTCCTTATAAAGGTTGTACTGGTATCGATGAGAAAAGTAGTCGCCAATGGGGTCCTACTTGTGGCACGTAGTTAAGAGTCGACGGCTAGTTGGAATGGGCTCTTAAGCAATCGAAGTGCTAACTGCGCCAACGATCGGATGGCCTAGTGGATGGCGTCTTAAGCAGGCGGTGGGGATGGGGGATGATGGTTCGACTCCCCTCGGCTTGTGCGTTTTTGCATTTTTTATTTTCCGTTGTTGTCGCTTCCATATACGTCTGTTAATGAATTTTACTCGGATATCTGCCATTTATAGGCACATCCTAAATAGTTATACCCCGTAGTCGGTGCTATTCAGCAATTTCGATTTCACTGCTATTCAGCAATTTCGATTCACATACCATTAAGCAAGAACTTGTCTGAAAGTTGAGCTTTATATGTTTATTCGGTGCCCTGATCACGACTATGGCATTTACTTTCAGCTCTAGTGCCATTTATCTCCAATTTGGAGCCACGTCTTTCTCCCACTGGAGTCGCTATGTACATTCGTTTGAGGGACTTGCAGGGCCATTCTGACGCCAGATTGGGTTGACGTCAAGAATAAGTGTCAGAATCGTGATCAGGACCATCGATTACCCCTATAGGCAAACTTTCGGCCAAAAAAATTTTTTTGACTTTTTTGAGTCTGTGCATTGGGTTATGCTGTCACTTTGTTGAAGTCGTACTTTTACTGGTTATCGAAGCCTCATTCAGTGGTACGGAGACAAAAAACTAGCAACAACCATAAACGCCATCGAAAAAAGAACAAAATAGTCATCATTCCTCCAGGTGCATTTGAAAAAGTGAAGAAATCGGATGAGTCTCTCCTCTTGGTAGGGGAGGACGACATCTTCGTTGAGCGAGCCGTCGCGGGGTCGACATGTCCAAGATGGTTTTCCACTTGTTCTGCGGCCACCCATGCCAAGTATGAATGGACCTTATGAGCACCAAATCTGCGATACGGCTGCCCGGCGGCCCAACCACGTCATCGCTACGCCATCGCAGCTCCAAAGTTGTGCGTCTCCGGTCATCAACTGTTGAGCCAAGATTGGTCGCTCTATCACACCCTCAGAAAAAGTCAAAATTTTTGGGCCAAAAAGTTTGGCATATAGGTAATCGTATGGTCCTGATCACGATTCGACTCTTATTCTTGAACCGTCGACCTGCCAATCTGGCAATAGATGGTCCTGCAAGTCTCTCAAACTAGTGTATAAGCGACTCCAGTGGAGAAAGAGGTGGCTCCAAATTGGAGACAAATGGCACTGGAGCTGAAAGTAAATGCCATAGTCGTGATCAGGGCACCGAATAACATATAAAGCTCAACTTTCAGACAAGTTCTTGCTTAATGGTATGTGAAATCGAAATTGCTGAATAGCACCGACTACGGGGTATAACTATTTAGGATGTGCCTATAAATGGCAGATATCCGAGTAAAATTCATTAACAGACGTATATGGAAGCGACAACAACGGAAAATAAAAAATGCAAAAACGTGCAAGCCGAGGGGAGTCGAACCATCATCCCCCATCCCCACCGCTGCCTTAAGAACGCCATCCACTAGGCCATCCGATCGTTGGCGCAGTTACCACTTCGATTGCTTAAGAGCCCATTCCAACTAGCCGTCGACTCTTAACTACGTGCCACAAGTAGACCCCATTGGCGACTACTTTTCTCATCGATACCAGTACAACCTTTATAAGGACCCTATAGGCAGCAACTGGCCGAAGTTGCGAGTGATTTAGAGCCCATTCAGGCTCAAAAACAGTCGGTTTCCATGGACTTCTTTTTCACTCCATTTTTGGCATTCCCAGAGGCGTTCAGGAAAAATGAACACCAGTTTGGTACTCCATGCACGTGGCCCCACATCATGCAAAAAACCGTTTTCAAGCGCTCCACGTCCTGAACGACGTCCCTAGTTAGGGAGGTGAACTGATACCAGATTCGTTTGGAGCGACAGTGACTTGTGTAGAAGGCTTGGTTGGTCTGGGCGAGAGTCCACTCAGAATTTGAACCCAGAACCGCGCGAGTGGCAAGCGCTCCACTTGTCACTAAACCACTACATGTTGGAAGGTTTTTCTCAAAGCCAGGGAACAGTATTTACTATATCTATTAGTTTCTCGTCTTTGCGGATCCAAAGAATATGTTCATTAGTATCTTGGTTCTTTTTTGGCTCTCTACGTAGTAGGATTTTGAGCCTGCTCGCCGTGCTTCAGAATTGAAGAACATCACATAGACCCCCGCACCACTTTTTGCCTTCAGAGGCATACACTAGTTCGCTGCAGACGGTTGGGCGTGTCAGGCAGTATGAGTGTGTCACCCCGTCAAAGCCGTTCTCTGCCTTCTTGTTGAAGGCGCGCATGCGACAAAAAGTGGTAGGAGACGAGTAATAAGAGCAATAGATACAGTAAGTATATTTGCTCGCTTTAACAACTGTTGGAGAACAGGTTTGGCACCGCGTCAAACTCATCCCCTCCTGACACGCCCAACCTTCCGCAGCGAACTGCACTATATGTCTTATCTGTGCCGCCAAAAAATGCTGTGTACGCTTAGTGTTGATCAGTTGGAGACTCCCCACAGGGAACTGCTGGATGCTGACAAATTCTGTGCATCGAATGGATGGGGTGTTATTCTTTAAGTTGATAAATAAGATGTCTTTCAGATTAGTGAAGCCTTGATTGGTGCTTATCGAAATGGCGCCTTCATGCAAGTACCAAATCTAGTCGCGCTTGCCAATAAAATGAAGAGATCAGCGATGGTGCGTTGAATAGTTTTACAATTCGTTAATGCTGAAATTGAAACAGATGTTCAAGTAGTTTGTTTCTTGCCTAATTACTGAAAATAATTTCAGTCCATTGCTTCTAATGAACTGCATCGATATTTATCAGCTCTTTTTGCCATTGATAACATAGATGAAGCTGTAAGTACGCTGCACGGCAGTGACGACACTATAGGCTAGTTTCCAGAAATTTTTTTCACAAATGAAGGTCATTGCAACCCTAAAGTTATGCATGTAGTGGCACACCCAAGGGGTTCGAGACGGTAATAGATTATAGAAAGGAATATTCGTTGTTGGAAGGTCCAGAATAGGCGCATTCCATTCGCAAGAAAACTGGGGGGAACTGTGGAAGTGCAGATGGTGGCACCTTCTCTTTTTCGATGTTAAAAAGTGTACGAAAGTCGTAGTAGTAGTAGCGCTACGCGTCAAGCTGCGTACAGAACTCGCGAAGGTCAACTTGGAAGGGTGTAACTGCAGAGGTCAGTGCGAAGCTATGCGGTGGCAGCGTCTACTGAATGGGTGTAAAAGGCACTGTGGATGACCCAATTCCTAGTGAAGAAGTTTCTTTTCACGTCAAACTCCCCTTGTGCTCCACTGTGGAGTGCGAAGGTTCTCTAGCAAAGGGATTGCAGAGCAGTTACTCGATTTTCATTTGAATTCGGAATCAAATTTAACGAATTCATTCTCAACTTTCCCGAATTTCTTACTTTTTAGAATGGGATTTGTTATGCGATAATAGGGATCTCACCGTAATACCGTC